TGTGTTTCATTTTTTAAGTCTTTCCTTTGTGCAATCACGTTAGTTCATTTCAAAAAAAGTGACTGTGTGAATATTTGGCACAGTGCTGCAAGGACATCCCCTAAATCCCCTATAAAACAGCAGAAATACGCAATGTAAACAACACTGAAATTCCGGTATAACCTCTTGTCACAAAGCCCGCATATGATTTCAACTTGAAACCCACAAGCAACACAAAGAAGGCGACAAAAACAGAAAAAACTTCCTGTACCCCTTCTGACTGACTGGTCTATGAGGCATGAAGTTGTGTGCTGCTGCTGCCTTTGTCTTCTTCTTCCTCTTGTACTTTTTAAGTTGCAATGTCGTTTTAAACTCTGGAGAAATTCCCAAGCTAGAGCTGAGTCGAGGGCACAAATAAAAAACTGACAATAAAAGTTTTGCCTTACTCCACCCGAAAAGTTGAGAAACTGAACAAGAGAAACTTTTTCAGAAAAAAATCGCTTTGGATGCATTGGAAAATCCTTTAAGCTTTTCGCCTTACTTCGTGGGCGATTTGGTGAGAGAGCATCCTCTATAAATTTCTTTACACGAAATTTATTCGACTCTGTTGTCTTTTCACACCGATCCACGAAAGTCGATAAAGAAAGTGTGGCAAAGTGTTGGGGTGGTTGCAACCAACCAACGTCTTCTCTAATTTCTTATTTTTTGTAAATGCAACATAAACTGTATGACACATCCAGTTTCTGTCAAAGCGAGTTAATATGGGGGATATGAATCGAGGCTGAATATAAGCAAATGTTCTAAAAAAATATTATTATTTCTTTTAAATATAAAGTTGTAAAAATGTTTGTGATTATTTTCAAAAACATATATTAGGTTGGGGAAAAAGAAATCTATTAGGCCGGTCATCGAAAATGTTGACCGCCATGTTAGCAGTCGTAACATTGCCCAGGAGCTAAAAATCGACCATAAAACTGTTTTAAACCATTTACACAAAACCGGATTCAAAAATAAGCTCGATGTTTAAGTCCCACACCAATTAAAAGAAGCGAAGCCTTAGCCGAACGGAATGAGATAGACCCATTTAAAGTATGGTGACTGGAGATGAGAAATCACATGCGAAAACGATCGTGGTCAAAAAGCGGTGAAGCACTTCAAACGGTGGCCAAAACCAGGACTAACGGTCAGGAAGGACTGTAAGGGGATTATTTATTATGAGTTGCTTGCATATGGATGATATCTAGTGTCAACAACTGGATAGCAATTGACTAGAAACGCCAGAATTAGCCAATAGGAGAGGTGTCGTGTTCCACCAGGACAACGCATAATGCATCCGACATACAGTCCGGAATTGCAAAATTTCTTTAACGATAAAAAAATTGGTATCTAGGGAGGATTTTAAAAATAGACTACTAGAGTTTTTTTTTGCAAATAGAGAGTAGGACTTCCATGAGAGAAGCATTATGAAGTTAGGAAACAAATCATACAACAAAACATCACATATTTGGATATTCCGAAGCATGTTAAATAAAGTCCTCTAGTTCATATAAAAATGGATTTCTTTATCCTCAACCTAATATATTTTAATCATACATATCAGAAACCCATTTATTTATTAAAAAAACATAATGTTCGAAAATTAAAAAAATGCAGATCAAAACGTATTAAAGCATAAAGGACCAAAAATTATATGGTAAAAATATAGTTAATTTCGTAGTCTTATTAACCAACAAATCCATTTTTACTGGATTTCACTGGGTATGTTGAAAGGTTGCAGTTTATAATTCTTTTATTTAATATATATGAAAATACATTACTTATATTAGAAATAATTTTTGGAATGCAAAAAAAATCTTTAACGAAAGTAAACGATCGCTGAAATATTCTTGCTCCCTTACAACAAAAAATTAATAATTTAAAATTGCATAAAAATTGGTAGCGAGTCAGGAAAATTTTAAACCGAGATTTTATGAACTCTGTTTAAAGTTGAACCACGTTCAAAGGTGCACTCTCTCCCATAATTATAATGTATCCGACCAATATTTTTATGTATTTTACAGAAAATAACTTGGAAACGTAATTTTAATATTAAAGAACCTAATTATCGTGTTCGAAATTCGGCAAATTTCAATCGAACATAAACTTCACTTTTGAAACTTTGAATTCATTTATTTGAAGACTCAAATGAGAAATCATATAAGGCATACAGGGATACTTTTATTAAATGTGGCTATTACATTGACTCATTTCAATTATATCATAAATTATTACAATAAATCTATTAAATCTTTAATATACCTCTTTAATTATTATCCCCCCGCGCTAAACAAACCAAAATAATGACATAGAATTTAATTATATTACCTTTTATTACTTCCTCTAACATTTTTTTTCTTTAAACGTCTAATGACCTAAGCCTGCCGTACCTCGTAAACTAAAGTGCAAACATAAAAAAACATAAAACAAATTCATTTAATTTAAATGTTGCATGTTTTTGAACAACGCGAAACATAAGAAGAACACGAGACGTAAAAAATAGTAGAAAAAAACAATATTCCCAAAAAAGGAAAAAATATGAGTAACGAAAGGCATGCAACAGTTTTCTTACAAGTTATTTAGTTTGACACACTCGCTGGATGGGTGGTCGGAGGGGGCAAGCAAACTTTCTTTCTTGGGCGCAAATATGGCAAAAACTTTTAATTTAAAAGTTCCTCTGGGGAGGAGACAGAGGTCGTCAAAGACATACAAAAAGTACACGATAGGGACTTAAGAGGGCGGCAAGTTGACGATGATTTCTAAGAGTGTTTCGTCTATGGCAAGAGTTCGGAGTTGAGTTGAGTTTTATGAAGAGAAGTAAAATCCCCTTTAGCCAAAATTTAATTGCTTCGCATATACCGACAATTGTTAAGGAATCTCAAGTGTTACATTATTCCCTAAAGGGTTTTAAAAGGACATTACTTTAAGTGTTTCACAAGCCACACTGTTTCACAGGCCAACAACAAGACGACACGGTGGATGTGCTATAAAAAGAGGGGAAATGAAAAGGGCAAAAATGAATTCTATAATTTCTAACACAGAAACTTGTTACATCCCTTGAGGAAAAGAGGGGAAATTGTGACTAGGGGAATGTTTTGGTATTATGGAACAGGACTTGTTAGATTCCTGTTGGCCATAAACAGTAGGAATGAAATACCACAATACATGATATTTGTTTTCCATACCCTATCATACACATATGCCGGAAAGGGGAAATTTACTGGCACAAACACGCCAAGGTACGCTGTGGCAATGGAACACTCATTCAATTTTGTTGAATGAATTTGTAAATGTAACCAACCCCTCTTTCAATAGAAATGCAACAATTTCTAAATGGCAATGAAAAATTGACTTTCCCCTTACCCGCGTTGAGTAACACACCCCTCCCTCGTGTCATAGCGAGTGCAAGAGCAAGGAATTCCATGGAATCGAAACATTCTACTTCCTGATTGTTGCTGCTTTGATTTGAATTTTTATTACCGCAATCATCGCATAAAACAACAATGTAAATACGAGTTATCCTTATGGCCGATTCAATTCCTTCATGTTTTGTTTTGCTCTGCTCTACTCTCGCTGACTCAATTCGATTTCCACTCACCGCACATGTCCTTTTGTGCTGAACACGTACGTTTCCAACAGATACGTACAAACACGAAGCAGCGAAGGGACGAACGAACAAACGACCGACCAAACAACCGCCTGACATTCAAGCTGAATGGCTGGCTGGCAAGCAGCAACAGTCTGTCTCCCTTGGTGTGTAGCACGAGTTATCCACAACAACAGAGAGCATTGTCCATCTGTCGCACTCAGCAATGCCAATTCGCCCCGTTGTGAGTGAATTCGCTGCTCGCCTTTTAACCTTAACATAAGGGTTGATTTAACACTTCTCTGCCACTGTGGGGGTAAAGAGCAAATTTCTGCCGTGTTCCTATGGACGATACACGTTTCGCTTCCACAATGTTACTGGCCAAAGAGCACCAAATGTTGTGATTGTCGCTGGATGCCTCTATATAAGGGCTGGCACTTAACGTTGGTGTTTTCATTAACCTCCAAGGGTTGCTTACGTTCGGTTCGCATTTCTATATTCTCTATTTCTTATCAATTAAAACTCTTTAAACGGATTCTTATGTTTTTTATTTCCCTAAAACTCATACATACATCAATCAATCAATCAGTCAACTTTACTTTCTATTTCTAAACTTGAATATTTTTTTTAAATTAAACTCAAAACAAAATAAAACAACTTAAAAGTTACAAAACAAAAAAAAAACAAAAATTGTTTAAAACATTACGAGAAAAAAACGAAAGCTAAAAAGTGAAACAGACTGCCTAGAGAACAACAAACATCAACAAATCGGAAATCAATAACTTCCGGCTTAAAAAAAAAAGAAAATACAAATCGAACTTTAGGACCGAATAAGAAATTTCGCGAGTTCAACTGGATTTTTGTGAACGAAACGGAAGTGCAAAAAGAAACCCAACAAAAAATCGATAAAAATGCAAAACCTTAAGACAAGTGAGAAAACTAACTAAGAAACCGACAAATAAATTGAAAACAACCAGCGAAACAAAAGGAATATGATTTAAGAATGGTCCTGCCCTAGACCCTACCAACAAGAAAAAATAATAAAAATAAATAAAAAACCAAGCCAAAACATGAAATCCTAAAATTCCATAAAAATACACAATAGAATTTCGACGAGCCCTTAACTTTTTTGCCACAACAACAACAACCAATCAATCAACAAAACAAAAGCAATAACAACAAAATATATAATTTTATGATCTAAACGCAAAATTTCCTTTCCAAACAAATTGTTTTTGGATATTAAAGTTTACTGAAAATAAAAACTTTTGCTCGTGCGAAACCACACAAAAAACCGGAAACCGAAATCTCAGTAACTTCCCTAGATCCTAAACTGGAATCATCGAACAAATAAATATTTCATTTCATTAAAAAGCTACATTTGTTTAAACTTGACAAAATGCCACGCTGTCTAATGGCCAAAAAATGGAAAGCTTATCCTTGGCCCGATCGTGCTGAGGATAAGAACTCCAGCAATAGCAATTCATCGTCGAGCAGTTGCGATAGCATTGCAAGCTTGCCCGAAATTAGTATACAATTGGTGGAAAAGAAAGTGGAGCCGAAATCAAGACGTTCCACAATCGATGAAGATGAAGAGATCGATGTTGTCGGCGATAATGTTTTGGCTAATGCAGCCACGGCTACGGTAATCATCAAATCAGGCGATTTGAAATCATCATCCGCATCTTCGTCATCATCGCCAGCAAACCAAAGCAATGAAACATCAACTGGAACGGCAACATGTTGGGGTCCATCATCGCCAACGGCTGGTGCAACAGCACCTAGTCCACCGCCTCATTCGCCAGAAGCAGCTACACGTGGTACCACAACATTGTATAATGGTAAGTTTCAAAATTTAAAAGGGTTCTATACAACAAGGGGTCTTGAGAAGAAGGTTCAGTGGATTTTAGAGCAGAATATATTTTTAACAAATTTCTTTGGCGGTTGAAAGCAAATCTACAGATCTTTTACTAATATGAAAATTTAAATGTATAATTAAAAAAATATAACATTATATTCCCTTTAGGGCAAATATTAAATTTTGAACTATTTAATTATCAGAAAAATCATATTTAATAAATTTGAACATTAGTACTAAAACTGTAGGCGAAATAAATGATTAACATAACAAATTATTCGTGGTAAATGCCGTTATAACAATTTCTGTTGTCCTTTACATTTCCACCGTTTCGACCCGTCAAATACGATTCGAAAATGAACTAATAATTTTATATTAATGATAGCACACGAGTGTCATTAGCTTCCTTGGGCCCCAAACAAAAAAAAAAAACCTTACAATTAAACAAGATAATGTTAATATTGTACATAATTTTGTTGTTATATATTAAACAAAACTCGTTCACACAAAACCATGTAACATACATATACATGTAAAGAAAATAATGATATTATGATGAGTCTCACTTAAAACCAAAGTTAATTACATTGGAATGGCCCAAAGGTTAATACCAAAAAAAAAAAAAAATCGAAGGCAAGGAAAGACCAAAGTAAACCTCATACAAACAGAAAATCGAACCAGCTATTGTTAAAGTTTACTAACTTGGCAGCAAACAAATGACTTTACTGACAAACACACACAAAACAAATACAACAACAAAACAGACCAAAACAAATGGAAACATATTAAACTTAAAGTCATTAAGGAAACGGAAAGGACAAGTTGAAGCAAGCAACAAAAAAAAAGCGAAACCACATTTAAACAATACCCACCCATATCGAACTGTTAGGACATCCTTCTTCGAACCTAAAAAAATCTTGTAAATAAATGAAAATGTTTGTCGTTCAGAAAATTGTTGCTAGCCTGCCAACCAAAAGAAAAGTCATTAAGTTTAAATTAGGGAAAAGCGTAGCAAAGCCAACTTAAATACACTGATAAATTAATGTTAGGCATTGGACTTTGTTGGTTTATAAATGAGTTGCCGAGTGAAAATAGGAAATTGAAAATAAGCCAGGAGATTTAGCAGTTTTTTTTTTGAGAATTTAACACCTTATATATATATATATATATATATAACATATTATTAAAAAATATATAAAAAATATATATATTTCAAAGCAATAATTGTATATTTAATAATCAGAGTAGGAATAACTCGGATAAATAATAGCTATTTTAACTATATTGAAATCTAAAATTTATTTCCTCTTTTGCTCACATCTCGATGATTTTAAGTTTCAAACAGTTTCCAACCAGAACACGCATTTACGTTTACCATAAAAAAAAATTTGTTGTATCATTTTTTTCCAATTTTTAATTTTTATTCCAGAAAAAATATGTTTGTTTTATTTCGCCCTCCCACAAACGAAAGGAAACCTTTAAGGCATTTAACTCGTTTCAAATTTATAATGTTCTGTTTTCTTAAATGTTTTGACAAATTTCTATAACAAAATATGTTCTGATCTTTTTTTTTTACAATATCCATTCCCATCCTCGGGCTGTTTTCCGGGCAAAGGGTGTACAACTTAACTGCCTTTTTTGTGTAGTATAACTAAAAAAAACATTCTAGGACTGGTGGGAGGGATTGAAAGGATTTGGTTATTTGAGCGTAATAATACCGTCGCAAAAACAAATCAACTGTTAATAGAAAAATAAAAAATAGGAAGAAAAACTTGTTACGATGAACTGACACAAACACTATAACAAAATTGTATTAAGGCAATAATAACAACAACAACAAAACAAGCAACGAAAACAGGAAAAATAAATAGAAAAATAACCCATGGCAGAAGGTTGTTGCGTTGTCAGCATGTTGCTTCACAGACATAATGTTCATCATCGTCATCCAGCAGTGGCAGGCAGCATCACCCTATTGTATACCCTTTAAAAATAACAACAACATCTTTCTACATGTATGTTTGTCTGTAATTTATTTGCCAAATTCCTAGGCCTTATTCGCTTTGGTTTTGCAATTTCAAGTGTTTTTTTTCAGCCTGCTGTTGTTGTTGTTTCATGTCTGCTTAAAGCTTGTATGCTTGACTGCGAGACAGTCTCTAAAACTCAACCATCAACTCTTTCATCACGTTGCTTAGAGCCCGTCTGCCAGCCAGCGAGCTCAATATCCAACAAACACCCTAGCACGCTGTTAGGCAAAAAAGCCTTAATGTTGAGTTTTTTTGCAGTTGTTGTAGTTTATATCCTTGTACGATGATGATGATGATGATGAGTATATATGTAGTCCTCCCACCCTATGTTGTTGGGAAACTGTTGCTATACAAACAAACAACCAGTCTCACAATTGTACATATCAACAAAAAGCAATGCCAACAATCACGTGAAATATGTGTAGCCCTCATATAGGCTGAACAGTAAAGAGCAAAAGTGATCAAAGTGTTATATGGCAGTATATTATTTTAATTTAACGTTCGTAGGTAGTGAAGAGTGATTATATCCCTCAGGAAACACGCCTACCATTGCTATGTAATAAGTTTTCCAATTTCCAAAGCCTTAGATTGAATTGAATGCATATTTTAATGTTTTCCTAAGAAACATTTCCAAAATTATTTAATATGTCATAGCGACGGTGGTTTGACTGCAATAAATTTTGTAATCTCCAAAAGACAATCTCATGGTGGTATTCATGCACAACTTCTTCTCCATTCTTTTTTATCACAATTTATCCTTGCAACCGTTTAGCGTTGTTACAATGTTGTATTTCATAGAACTATTTAATTTTGTAAAAACACTAACGTTGTTGTATTTTTTGCATGAGCTAAAATTGTGAGAATATGACCCAGAATGTGACACATGTCACCAACATAAATCTTCATAACACAAACCTTTTTTTGCTCATGTTTGGGTAGGTTGGCGGCTTGGCATTTGGTTGATGCAGCAGAGGCAGCCTAGCGTCTGGGCTTAATTAAAAAATCCACATGCATACACACACACTTTACCTAGCCAAAAGCTAGACGATTTCAATCTATAGGCTGCCACATTTGTTGCCATAGTTCATGTGAATCAAAGAGACATTATTGTTGAATGAGTTGTATACGGATTTAGGACATGTTGTAGCGCGTTTTTGTGTTTTATCTGTTTTATCTATAGCTTGCCAATGTAGCCAGACACAGAGCTGTTAGAGGTTGGCCTTAAAACCTGACTGAATTTGTGTTTTATCTCCATTTAAAGGTTTCTCATTTATTTTCTGTTTTCTCCAATTTCTTTTCTGCTTCATTTTTGCACATATTATGTACGCATTGAATTTGCCATTCTGTGCTTTAAATGTCCCTTACATTGCAAAGAATGTTTTTTTTTATTTTTTGCATCCATACATCGTTGAGTAAAAAAGTTTGGCCAAAAACTTAGTTGGCTGGGGGAATAGAAATATTTTGTATTCTGTATAAAACCAAAGCCAAGTACCGAGGGACCCAAAGTACACACCCAGCCATAGTTGCACACTCGTGAAGGCTCAAGCACACACACACACTCCGGCCGGCAAACAAGGACACAGACACCCCGGTTACTCTTGAAACATTTGAGGAGTCTTTTTTTTACTGCCAACCAACAGTGTTGGTCTTGTCGAGTCGAGTCTTTTTTGGCCTTTTGGGAGGGTAGGGCGCGCATCGAGTACTGCAATGCGACATTTTTAATGTTTTACATTTTCCATAGCTTCTCATCGGTGTTTTTATTTTTTCGCCAACCAGCCTACATAGCCCTTTTTACAGGAAATACCCCGACATTTATGTATTTCGTGGTGTGGGCTAACGTTTTTCGTCTACGCCTCCACCCGAAACGTTAAGTCGCTGTTGCAACATATCAAACTAAAGTCGGCTTGCAGAGCACAGCACAGCACCGCACTAAGCAAGGCGTCTGTAATGTGGAAAAAGTTTTATGTTGCTAATTCAACACGTTTCCTACTTGTTGGTATTTCAACAACATTCACATTCTGCCGTTTTACCATTCCCTGCGCATTTAGCCATTTGTACTTAAAAGATATTCGTATCGCTGTATCCGTATCCGTTTTCATCGTAGTCCTTGTCTGCAACTAAAACTAATATGCTTGGTTACACATGTCTGGCATTAGGCTTTTAGCTTAAATAGTTTCATTTACCATGTTTACACACTTACCAATATACACACACGCACATACATGTGTACGTAGGCTATATGTTTATGGCCATGTTGAAGATAAAAAGCTTTTACTTTATAAGGCCACACTCGCATATACGTATATAGTTGTATATTTTACGGATGTCCTTGTGTTTATGAAACAGGAACAGGAAATGATAGCAATGATAAAAGTCTAGCATGGCAGTGGAGATTAACTACAAGAGATCACATTACCTTCTCCTTGTAGCTTTCGCTTTAGTCGCACAGCAAACTTTAATATTTGTATTTTTCTTTATTTCTTTCTTTAAGGTTACAATCATGAGGTACCCAACGCTTTACATTACACTGCGTACCTGCCTCGTTTGGAAAATGAAGTTACCGTCATCACAAGCACCTCCAACATGCAACAGCAGCAGCAACAATCGCATCAGCATCCATTCAATTATCAAACACCTCCGCCCTCGAATGCATCTTCGCCGTCATCATCACCCTCCAGCCGCAGCAGCAGTATATCTTGTGAACGTCTTAGTCCGCCCATAATTCGCATTAAAACCGAATCTCAAGATGATGTGGATTCAAGCAGTACGGAGTCACGAAAATGCTATAGCAGTACTGGAGCAGCCCTGTCGCTACCGCCCAAAAAGAAAGACATTTACCGGCCGTATTCCCTGGACGATAGACCTTCGACAGAACGTCTGCGTCTGCGAGTGCCAGCTGAGGAAGATTTGCATGCTGCCCATGCCATTCTTGATTTAAGCGCCTCAACCGCCTTCCATCCGCCAACACAGCCTCATCAATTGCAGCAGATCCACCATGCCCATCATCAACACCTGAGCCATCACCAGCCTTTGCATCCGTTGCATCACATTACCCAGGCCATACAATTGCAGCAGCAGCAGCAACAACAACAACAGCAGTCAGCACAACCTTCAATAGCTGATTTGGCTGCTGCAGCCATTGTGGCCAATGAACAACGTCCCCGTTCCAATTCTTCCATGCACAGCATGCAAAGTAATTCGGACAGTGAACGCCAGCCCAGTTCACCCGCCAGTTCAGTGCAGAATGAAAACAACAACACTACAAATCAGTTTCCTACAACAACCAGCGGGGCGACAAGCAAAACAGTGGCCTACACCTATGAAGCGTTCTTTGTGAGCGACGGTCGTTCCAAGCGAAAGAATATTACCGATCCGGTAGTAGCCTTACAGCAGGAACAGCAAAAGGCCAAGTACACCTGCAGCGAGTGTGGCAAACAATATGCCACCTCGAGCAACTTGTCACGCCACAAACAAACTCACAGATCGTTGGACTCGCAATCGGCCAAGAAGTGTCACACCTGTGGCAAGGCGTATGTCTCCATGCCCGCCCTGGCCATGCATGTCTTGACGCACAAGCTCTCCCACAGTTGTGGTGTGTGCGGTAAACTATTCTCCCGTCCTTGGTTACTGCAGGGCCATTTACGTTCGCACACTGGCGAAAAGCCCTACGGCTGTGCCCACTGCGGCAAAGCCTTTGCAGATCGTTCCAACCTAAGGGCTCACATGCAGACGCACTCAATCGACAAGAATTTCGAATGCAAACGCTGCCACAAATCATTCGCACTGAAATCGTACCTCAACAAGCACTTGGAGTCGGCGTGCCTAAAGGATGAGGCGGATATGCAGTTCGACAGCACCAGTGACAGTGGTGGCATGACTTCTCCTACTCCTACTGAGGACTACAATCCTCCCAACTATCACCAGCAACAACAACCGGCACAAAATTCTTTTAAGATAAGTCACATACCACAGCCAGTGCCAGCAGCGGCTGTGGTAAAAGTAGAGGCCACATTTGCGGGTTAAAAGCCGCAAGAAAGGTAACAGAATATTGTAAGTAGTTTTAAAACACAACAACAACACAAACAACGAAAGCAAAAACAAAAAGAAAAAGGTTACGATTTTGTTAAACAAAAATGTTTACATTTTTTCTTACAAAAAAAAAAAAAAATCACTTAAAAAAAGCAAAAGTAATATGACAATATTTACATTTACATACAAAACATTTTAACAAAAAATACCACATCAATAGTTATGTATGCTAATAATATAATTTTTATATAATTAATTTATTTTATAAACCTCAATTAAGTTTTAGTTTATTAATTTGTGTACACTCAAAACATCGCAATTCGTCCATTTCAGTTTAAGCAAAAACAAACATCAAGAATTAAAGGTTTTGCCCTGGCAATACCCAATTCATAGGATCTCTTATAATTTGTATAGTATTTATATTAAAGAACAAACAAACTAAACAAAAACCAATGATAGGAAATACTCACATACTCCCCACTTTCATTCTCTCTCAATCTTGCCCTAGTCAAATTACATAAATTAATATATACTCTCGTCATCGTCTCTCATCACCACACATTGTTCGTTACCTAGCCATTGAAACGTTACATTCACGCAAACCTCTCCCAATTCACATATTTTCACTTAGGCTTAATTCTCATCTCTCATCACAGCTCATTCTCTGACTTGTATTCTTAACCCCAAAAATCAAGCAATACTCTAGTAAGCGAAAGTGTTCTTAGCCAATCCAACAAAAAAAGCAACGATGAACATTGAAATTGTGAAGCAAATTTGAATCAACGAAAGCAAAGTTTCTCAAACAACGAATTAGGCCATAAGTCCAAACCAAACTCTAATAATCTACATATACTCTTAATATAAATTAGTAACACACAATAAAAAAAAAAAAAAAAAAACAAAAAGAAATATGCAACAAAAATATATATTTCGGAAATGTATTAACAAATTTATATAAAAGCAATCATCTCCCCTAATTAAAACAAGCAATATTTTTAATATATTTTCAAAAAATTAAAGCATGGCCCAAAATAAGTCAATTAATTATAAGTCAGTCAAAGGAAAACAAAATTCAATTATTTGGTTTTCAACGAACGTAACGAACCCTTTTTCCGTTAGCACTCTCTTGTTTCGCTATCTCTCTCTCTCTCTAGTCAATTCCCTACCAGTCAATCTAGAAATGTATCCAAAGAAATCTCATAATACCAGTGTTTGTATTAATACCAAATGTTTAGTTTAATTAAAAAAAAATAGTCTAGTGTTTTTCCCTAGTCGCTGTTGAACAGCTGTAGTTTTCTTTATTAGGTTATTTTAGGGCATACTTTTAGGCGTTACACAGCGCAAATATTAGGAAGCCAACTCTGTACTTCGCTCTCAACATTCCCCCTTCTCTTTTAAGGTTCTAGCTATAGTAAAGTGAAAAACAAAGAATTACCAGTGTAATTTCTAGTCTTATATATTAGGTAATTAGTGTAGGATTCATATTTAGTTTTATCATGTTAAGGGTTTCTCATTAGGTTTAATTATTTCTATAACTTTTTTACTTTATTTTAATTAGTTCTGATCGAACTCTTTCGAACACTATATTCCTTCGACTTCAACACTTTATTCTCGGCAATTTTCTATTCTCAATCTCTTTCTTTCTTTTCCTTTATAGAAATAAATAAATAGTTTAGTTTTAAAAGAATAGTTTAGTTTTAAAGTGATGAATAAATCTTCATCACAAAGAGACACAATCCCAGTTTTATAATATAGTTTGTTATTTCTAGTCTTAAATTAAGATTTTATTACTACTGTCTTTCGTCATCTCTAACATTTCTTCACTCTTTCTTCAGTAATAAAATATTTTCTATAAGTATTTTTGAACAATATCTTTTTAGTGTCTTCTAGTCTATTTCTATCCTTTCAACTCGTCTTCTTTCTCTTAATAACTTATACATTTCAAATGATCTCAATTTAGTGCTGTCTAGTCTTAGTTTTATAAAAATGACTCTCTTCTTTTTCAAATGATCTCAACTGTCATTTCAAGTTTCTTATCATTAATTTCTACAAATAACTTTCTTCTATTATCTCTGCTATGCTCTTCTATCGTTTATTCTCTTCCTGTAAATTTAAAATTAAACATAGAAAACCCAAGAAAAATACTTTCAGTTCCAATTTTTGATCAATTTTCAGTTTCTAGTTCAATTAAGTGGATACCATTTTCAATGTGGATTCTACAACAGTGGGATAAGGGTGCAATAATAACATTAAATAATTATTTAGCAAAAACGAAGCAAAATAAAAATGCAAACTTTTGGCTTAAATTTAATTAAACAAAATTTTTCTGTACATATGAACAAAATATATAAAATTCTTTTTGGGATAAACTACGAAAAATCTACTTTTCCTATCTCTCTCTCTCTAACTTCTCTGTACTATATTACTCATACTCTCTTATAACTGTAAAATAATTCTCACTCTAGATTAATTACATTTAATTTTAAGCAAATTAAGAAAAAACTGTTTTAGAGTTTTTTCACACAGTCTACCAGTGTTAACCTGACTTTCACTCTCTCACTACCTTTCTCTAACCATCGACTCCTCTGTTTGACTTTATTTTCTCATCTGTTTACTTTATGCTGTCTTTCTCTTAGCGTTTTCCTATCACTTTTAACTCTACCCTCAGTTATTCATTGACTTTCTCTTTTAACTTAGGCCCTAAACTCTAATCAACAGTTTTTTGACTCTCTCTAATTTCTGTTCTTGTGCAAAATTGTGTCAATTAAACGAAACAACAAACCCGGAAACGGAAATAACAAATGGAAAAGTTTTATATCTAACCAAATAATAACTCTGCAGTTACAGAGAAATTTTAAGGTTTTAAAAGCTTTTAGGTTTTTATGATTAGCTCTTTAGTTATTAGACTATAGGTGTAGACTACTATATATAGCCCCCTCAACAAAGACAACTAATCCAATGGGTTATGCCTTGCCTACAAATGTGTACAGATTAGAAGCAAAAAAGGGGCTGCTAACGTTAGGTATTCTGAGTGACATTCTTTACTTAAAAACAGTATTTTTATAAATGATGACACACACACACATACATATATAGGTTTTAATCATAATCTTCTACAATTTCATGGCTTCACATCCACAAAACAATTGTCTCTGTCTCTATCCATCTCTTTGTATTTTAAATGGAAAATCTCGATGATTTTCCCACAGTTATAAATGTCGAGTGTTCTCTAGTCACTAGAACCCCTAACGCAAACGCCTCTAGTTTGAATAGTTTTAACAAAAGGAATAATTTTAATGCATCGAAAATCAGCTTCAATGGCCGATCTCAAATAAAAATAATTTAGGATTAAAAATAACAAATAAATTCATTAGAAGCAAACAATTGTTCTTCTAAGACCCCATACAGCCAGAAAAACCAAAAATAAATAAAACACAAATCTTGCTGAAAACCTATATTAAGAAAACAGGCTAAGTTTAAGGTTTTATAGTTCTCCTTTTCTCAAAAAATAAGGAACCTAGAAAAATACTAAAAAGATACAAACAACTCGGCTAAAGTACCAAAGCAATACTCATTTTTATACAAAGAAATAAGCAAAATCTACAAACAAGTTTTGCTTACAAATTTGTAAGAAAAAAATTATATTTTTAATACGATATTAAGTTATCGCCAACCAATATAATATACAATTTAGTTTTAATTTCAATTAACACAATAATGTATATAATTAATAAAATGAACTACAATTAAATTGTAAATATTTGTTATAATCATAAAAAACACAACTTATTCAACGACTCTTAAAAAATAACAAAATAATATTTAAAACCCAAAATAAATTAAGCAATATTATTTTTGCAATTCATTTATATTTTTTTATTAAATCAAATATTAATTTCAAGTTTATACAAAAAATTTTGTTAATCATTAATTTGAATTATTTTTTATAATTATATTTTTAGTAAGTTAAAAAATATACATACTTAAATTCAAATAATTAATTGTATTACATTTGCATAGTTAAAACATTATATAAATATTATTTCAAATTAAATTAACAATAACCAAGAAAAAACCAACCAGTTATTTATTATTATTCATTATAAATGAACGTAAAAAACAAAAACAGACAAGCAATTCTTATAACAAACCAATCAACCCAAAAACAAAACAACATTATTATTATAATTGCATATTTATATATATTCATACAAAGGAACATAACTATTATTAATTTAAATAATAAATAATTTAAGAGTTACACTAAATATACATACAAACAAACATACATACTTACACATTATAAATATTAATCAAAACTGAAAAAAATATATACAAATATATTGTGAAATATTATTGAAAACACAAACAAACATATTCTTGTTTTATTTTTTGGCATACATAAAAACAACAATTTTTATTCATTTTATACAATTATTTTGTATTCTTTTCTTTTTATGAGAATGCTAGCAAGCATCATTGGGTTTGGGGTAATCTACTGGGGGGTCTACTACGCCATGCATGAAAGAGAACATCGAGAAATATATGAAATAAGTGAAAATGTGACTTCTTATTGGATCTGCCTGTAAATCTACGATTTACATCAAAAAAATTTAAAAGCTTATTATATAACATGAAATTTTGGAATGAAAACTATGAAACGTAATTGGAAAGGTAATCGAAGGAGATAATATAATGATCAAAAGTATATAACTTGAACATGCTGGTCTGTAATGGTATTCCATATTAAAGAATTATTTACCAAAAAAATCGAACACAACTTCAGTTCAATTGGGGCCTCCTATAAGTCAACTGAATCGGTTGATTTGATTGGTGTAGTGGTTGGTATGCCCGACTCCACTAAGGCATTTGACGCAATTCTCGGTATTAAGTTGTCTTCAGAATGAAATCAGGATGCGGATTTATCCACAGGAACAAGATGTTGTTTAAATATGAACAACTCTGCACTAAATACACTAAAGGATATACATATTTCAATGACATTTTGTAAATCCATTTACAGAGACAATTGGTCTTCTTCC